GCAAAAAATACCCGTTGGGATACCAGACTAATAACAACTAAGGGTTAAAACCTAAAAGAAGCAGTGATATAGCTAAAATGTTAGTCGTATTCGACTGGCAAACTTACTTATTGGCCCACATGATAAAAATAAAATATCCGACTTTTTTTGTACAACTTATTTTAGTTATATCCAAGTTGATTAGGCAGGGGACATGAATTCAGATCATTCTCCCATTATTACTCTTAGTAACGCCATTATCCAAAAGAAACGCTCTCTTAGACTACTAAACAGGGGAGCAGACTGGCCAAGCTTCAAACTGGACCTTAAAAAGAATATGAATCTTTCAATTCTGTTAAGAACAACACCACAGCTAGATGAAGAAGTAGAACTACATGTGTTCAACATACAGCAAGCAACATGGGAAAATACCCCACCTATTGCTCAGCGAACAACAGAAAATAACTATCCTAAAGAAATAAGGGACCTATAATTTTTGCAAAAAGAAAACTAAGGAGGATTTGGCATCAGACCAGAACTCCATCAGATATAACCAACCTTAACAACGGCACCCAGCAGTTAAAAAGAAAGATAAAACGAATCAAAAATGAATATATTAGTGAGTACCTTAGTGAGTTGACAAACGATAAAGCTACTGATTATTATTCATAGAAAATCGCAAAGCAATTGAAAAGACCCACTGTGCAGAATGCTACAATCAGGAATACAGATGGCAGCTGGACTAGAAATAATATACAAAAAATAGATTTGCAGGGCACTTACAAAATACCTTCCAACAAAACGAAGAAGAAGAATTACCGAATTGGGATCTTCCAGAAAGATATGACTTAATTATCAGACCAACCTCTCCAAAAGAAATTTCAAGAGATATAAAAACATATTGATCCGAAGAAAGCTCCTGGCTTTGATTTATTTACGAATTACGAAGTTTTGTCATATAGGCCAATATCTCTATGGCCTATATTGTCACGTTATGCGTGTTTTTTTATGAAAAATGTCACGTCTATATTGACACACAAATATGGGCTCAATGTAAATAACAAGTACAGAAAAATGTAAACTCAAACTAATATTTGGAGCACATGTCACAACTCTTGCGTGACTATTGAAACTGATATTTAAAATACAAAAAACTTTTAATTTAAACTATGGAGATCCTGAGCTGGAGCTGCTACTAGAAATCGCCTACAAGGGTGGCCTCCTATGAGGAGGATCCTTCCCTGTAAAAAAGCCCTGCGCATCCCCTCGACATTACTTATATAACTTTCTCATAATGTATTGTTATTATAACTCATATTTAATAATTATTAATTAATCAACCTGGCACATTATTGCAATTTAAAACAAATTGTCGACATAATTAAACAAAGTTTTATGTACAGAATGTTTTCTAAATAATTAATTAAAATTAGGAAAAATAAGAATTTATTCGAATCGTGACAATATTATCGAAACTATTTGAATAGTAATAAAAAGACTAAAACCCCTCATTGAAGAAAGTAAACTTATTCTAAATTTTCACTTTGGCTTCAGATAAAACCATTTAACTATAGATCAGGTTTATAGAATCTCAAATGCGATTGAAAAAGCATTAGAAAAAGAAGTATGTTCAACCATTTCTCTCGATGTAGCGCAGGCTTTTGATAAAGTATGGTGATGGTTTAAAACATTAACTGAATGTGCTACGTTATATATTTCAGATAGATTATTTAGAATATAACAAGATGAATAATATTCTGAATTGATAGAAATTAAAGCAGGAGTACCACAGGATAAGATAGCTACATTTGCAAATAATACTGCCATCCTAGTGATAGGCAAAGATGATGAAGAGGCTGCAAATAAACTAGAAACATCAGTCAATCAAATAAATAGCTAGACCAGAAGATAGTAAAATTAAAAACCAAATTTGTTAATTTTAATTTTACTAACAAAAAAATGGTTAACGAATACTAAATAACATAAATAATGTCCAGGTCTCTTACGCAAAATATCTAGGTATTACATCAGATGAACGACTTCGCTGGAAGATCCATATTAAAAAGAAAAGACAAGAGTTAGATATAAAATTCAAAAAAATGTACTGGGTACTTGTTAGGCATTCCAGCCTACCTACACATAACAAAATTATTTTATATAAACAAGACATCAAACCAATTTGGACATATGGCATTCAGCTCTAGGGTTATGCCAGCAACAGTAATGTTCTAATATATCAGAGATTCCGGAATAAAGTATTGTCGATATACATTAGACCTTCATCGATACCTACAGATAGACACTGTTGACCAGACTATCACCAGAATCGCTAGAAGTCACGAACAACAGCTCCACCAACATGTGAACGTTGAGCCGATCCAGCTTCTTGACAACACAGACCGGACAAGAAGACTCAAGAGAGTGAAATTGTTTGAGTTATCCAAGTGATTGGGTTAATAACAAAACAAAGCATTGTGCAGTTTAGTGTTACACGTTATAGTCTATTTTTATGTATGAGAGAGTATTAAAATAATAAAGCGTTCGTAATCCATAGGGGTACCACTTCTTTTAGTAGAAAGTTAAAATATTTTTTGAAGTTATTCCTCGAGTATACACTTATATTTTCACCTAATTAACCTGCTTATAACTTCTAAATAGCTGAAGGTAAAAAAGTGCAATTTTTTCTAAAATGTTTTATTTTTCCACAAGGTATGTTAAGAGCATTGTGTCAAACGGGTTATGTAGGTATAAGGGTTTAAACTTTGACTTTTAAACAACGTTACGTTCATAAATAATAATTTTAATATAAAAACTACTTCTTACCTACAAATCCAAATCAGAATCGAAATCAGAAGATGAACTGTCGCAACCAATATTTACAATGAGTGACTCGATCATTTCATCAGTAATATTGTCCAACTTCCACATTTTCTCTTCTTCTTTAATCATATGATTTACTGCCTTTTCCCAGTTTTCAGGCTTCACATTATTTACAGCCTCCAAAAACAACTGTTTAACATCACTCATTTTAAAAGAATTATTTTTTCTTGAAACTTCTCCCTTTATCTGTGCCCATATCAGTTCAATCGGGTTTACTTCGCAATGATATTGTGGTGATCTAACCACCGTCATCCCACGATTTTTTACAATTTCATCAATTTCATATTTTTTGAATTTCTCTTTATGAAGGGAACACAAATGATACAGTTCTTTTCTCACAGAACCGGGATGGAACTTAATATTCTTTTAATTTAGCCAATTCTGTAAATCTTTTTAACCACTTGGTTGTGGGCATTTTTTCTATAAGTCTCGAGTGATAACTTTCATTATCCATTACTATTATACAGTTGTGAGGAAGAAGATCTATAATTTGTTCGAACCACTCTTTAAAGATATCAGCATTCATGTCCTCATGGTAGTCACCGGTACGAGTAGATTCAAAAATCAATAAACCACCTTTAACAAAACCGTTTGAACTACTGATGTGTACTATTATTAGTCTGCACCCCTTTCCTGATGGTGGATTTAAACCAGTAGATAAATTATTTAAAAAAGCCTGTCTTCGACTTGTAACAGTTTCATCTTGCCAAAATTTATTTGGTTTATGTCCCTCGTTGATCCATATTTCATCTAAATAAAATATATTTCTTCTTTGGTTTCTTATTTCTTTTATAGTCCCTAGGTAATTTCTTCTCCATATCGCTTCTTTCTATTAAAATAGACTTTCTGGAGTGCTTTTTCCATAGAAAACCTATTTCTTTTAAAAGGATCCATAATGTGCTTCGACTCATTTCAGGGCAATCCTTATCATCTCGAACCGTGGCAAGAACTTTGTCTACTGTCGGAAATTCTTTTCTAAAGAAGAACGCATGCACTTTCCTTCGAAGTCTTTCTTTCAAAAGATTTTCTAATTGAAATTTTGGTTTTCCTGGATCTTTACGTGCTGTTTGAAACTCGCCACATTTCTCTTCTTTAACAACTCTGTAAATCGTAGATTTCCCAACACCAAGCGTACTACTAACTAATTCCACTGTGTCATCAACACTTTTACATAAATGTTTGTCTGTAAATGATTTAAAACAATTAAATATTAATGTTTTTTTATTAACTGTTAAAGGACCGATTTTTTGTCGTTTACGCGGCCCTTTCAAATTTTCCATGATCACACTAGAATTCACACTGCACCTTGCAAGTTGCAACTAAACGACATTTAGTAAACTGTCAAGGATACACAACTTGGACCTCCTTACTAAATGGAAAACCTATAATCGCATTTTCGGTGAAATTTGTTGGGAAGGTATTTATCTACTTATAATTCGATTACTGTAAGAAATTCTTGGAATTAAAATAAAACAAAATTGGCAAATAGGTACTTATTAAAAATAATCTTTAATGTAATCTTTAATACACAGGGCTTTTGGCCTGTCCAAACCTTTTTCTATTGTTCTGTACAGCTTATGTTTATAAAGGACCAATAAAAGACCCAAAACTTGTAATAGCTCAGGTACATTTATTACAATTTTAGGAAATATTTAGATTATTCTGTAAAAATATTTAAAATGACCGTACTAAGTTTTGTATTAGAAATGCTATTTTATTACTCTCTCATACATAAAAATAGACTATAGTTTAGTGTTATTAAGCTATGAGACTAAGGTATACTAGCCAGTAGAACGTTAGTTTTTAAGATTGCATTCTTAGTTAAGTTAGGTTAGAACAAAATTACTTATTAATCAACTTTTGATCAAATTGTAATATTATTAAACGCCCCTTATAGTGTTTTTTTTAAATAGTACTTTGATCTAGACCCTAGTTATATAGATGTAAATTCTTAAATTCTAAAAATATTATCACATAGATTAGTTGGATGCTATTTAGTGATCTTTTACAAAACTATTAAACTTTGGTAATGACTATATTCTTACTATTGACATTTCTCACTTCACTTTGATGTTTTAAAAGTTTTTGCAAAAGATATTACAGATACTACTCGTATATACTGATATTTATTTCTATTTCAGGAACAAAACACTGAGATGGTGAAAAAACAAAACCAACCACTGTCGGCCATCAGCATCCAAGACCTCAATTCAGTCCAATTGAGAAGAACTGAAAAAGTTATTGCCTCAAAAACTTTTTCCGCACCAACAAGGAGCATGAGTCTTCAGTGTCTCCAAAGCGAACCATTTTTGGCTCAAAAAACCGACTTGATAGCAGAATTGAAAATGTCCAAAGATATTACCGGAATTAAAAAGATGAAAATAGAAAGAGCTAAGTGCGAAGTTAGCAAAGAAAAAGAAATATTTACAGAGATTACTAAGCAGTTTACTACCACGAAGTTTGTAGAAAAAGTAAGTATTTTTCAATTTTGATTCTCTTTTGTAGATATGCTCAATAAATCTTCCTCTCTTATTCGAAGGTATAAAACGCATAATATATTACGTAATTATATTTTTTCTGCCTCCACATTTATAATTTATTCTACGCACAGATACAGAACAAGAAAGTGAGGACACTGTATGGATATTAAATCCACCAATCACTGTTAATATTAACTGGTATACTAATGTTTTTAAATTTTAAATAAGTAGGTAACAATTTTGTCAAACTAATAAAAAATATAAATAAAAATTCTTGGAAAGAATCGATAAATAATAGTATTCCACAAGATATTCGTCTAAATTTACAAATAAATCGTAAATTTTAATAAAACCAATCTAATTGTCAGTATTTAAAAAATATGTTATTTGTCTCGTTAGCGCAGAGATAGAGTATTGAGTTCGCATGCAGAAGGTCCGAGGTTCAAATACAACATAAAAACTTATTAAAATGTTCACAATTAGCTTTTTTCTACACATATATAGATAATAGCTATTCTACGCACAGAGTACAAAACCAAAAAGTATGCTATTACGTTTAATTTTTTTTTAATATTTTAATAATTGCTAATTTACAATCTACTTCAATAAAGTAATAAGTAAATCTAATGGCTTGAGGCAGGTGTCGTCCACTGACAACTCTCTGGAATTCACCTAGCAACTAGGTCTTCTGGCCAAAGTCTTTCTAAGCGTCTATCAATGAGTGGAGGGTTAAAGAGTTCGACTATGAGGTGGTTTGTATGGTTTTCACTGCGATTCATATATTTTCTTGAGTGGTGGGTAATCTATGAATGGAATTTTGAGGTCTGCATGAAGGGTTTTATTGGAAACGTACCATGGGGCGTTAGCTAACATTCAAATAGTCTTGGATGGAACGTCTGTAGTATTTTAGTGTTAGATAGTTTGCTGCAGCCCCACAGCTCGATTCCGTGTCCAGACTGGTTTGAGTATTGCTCTATAGATGAACATTTTGTTTCCTAATGAAGGTTTCGATCTTTGTTGATTAACTAGCTCATATTTTTAACTTTTAGGTCGAGGTGCCGTCGTTTAGCTTTAATATGTGATTTCCAAGTAAATTTTTCGTCTAAATGAAGTCCAAGGTATTTTACTTCTTTATTTATTGGTAAAGGCGTATATCAAGGAATGCTGATATACAGATTCGTTTTTCTTCTAAGCTCTCTTTTATTCTGTTGACTAACCTGTGGCACTGTTATATGGTTGAGTGACTTGAGCGAAATCCAAATTGGTGATCTGGGATCAGATTTTCTAGAGGTATTGTTGCTTCTATTCTGTTGAGAATAAGCCTTTCAATATTTTATGATAAAGTCGGAAGGAGACTTATTGGTCGGTACGAACTAGCTTTAGTTGGAGATTTACCAGGTTTAGGTATCATTATTATTTGGGCGTACTTCCATTGCACTGGAAAATAGCATAGCCTAAGGATGCTATTAAAAATGATAGTTATTAAGACGATATCTTTTCTTGGGAGATTTTTTAAGATTTCGCCAGGTATAAGATCAAATCCGGGAGCTTTGTGTGGGTTGAGAAGTCTGATTTCATTGCTGACTTCACTCGGTGAGAAGTATTTCAGTGGTAGTGACAACTGACAGGGGGCATTAAGGAAGGCTCTAATTTCATCGTCATTGATATCGTTAGGTTATGGGGTGGATAAAACAGTTGACAAATGTTCTGCAAATCTATTGGATTTTTCTGGATCAGACCGAGCCCAAGTTCCGTCGATTTTTTTTTAATTGGAGATTTGGCTACTGTTGGTTTCTTGAATTTTTTGTGGCTTTATAAACGATTCGATTTTGACAGTTTGGATAGCACAGCGAAGTCTGCTTGTGAGTCTGTTTAGATTTGTTTTATCTAATGGATTTCTTGTTGTTTGCCATTTACGACGGGCTCTTCTTCTATCTTCCACTAGTGTTCTAATGTGGTAAGGTATACTACATCTTTCTTCAATTATTTTTTTATTTACAGGAGTAGCTTCCCAAGCGGCGCTTTGAATTTGTTCTGTTAGGTATTTTACAGCTTCTTTAATGTCATTTTTGTCTTTGAGTCGTATGTCTAGATATTTCTTCATTGATTTTATCATTATCATTATCCAATTTGTTTCTGGAACAGAACCTTGGTGCAGGTGTTTTCCAAATTATACTAGTACTTAAGATTATTATGATAGGACTGTGATCCAAGTGTAAATCGAAACTTTTCAGTTTTTTCGTTTTAATATATTTTATTAATCTTTTTCGGAACTCAATAGAATATCTCATCACTATCGCTAATTCTATATATTTATAATATATTTTAATTTGACATAATATGTCGAGGAATGAATGTACTAAGGTGTACTAACTTATTTAATTTATACACTTTAATGATTACATTTTCAATACAACATTTCCTTTTAAATGTATATTTTGTTTAGGTTCCGGAGAAAGACAACACAGGAAATATAATACCGGCTTGGAAACGACAGATGCTTGCCAAAAAGGCTGCAGAAAAGGCCAGAAAAGAATTAGAAGAACAACTGGTTAGAGAAGCTGAAGAAAAACGGCTGCAAGCTATACCCCAATGGAAAAGACAGCTGCTGCAAAAGAAAGAAGAAACGGAAAACAAAATAAAGTATGAAATACTATACCTATTTATTAATTGTTATTTTTATGTAGCTTACTTAATGAAAAATAATCTTAAAGGAAGTGTCCAGTATACGCTTTATTTTTCTGAACATTGTGCAACTAGCATACTAGAATATCTCTGTATATAATTTTAATGTCTCCGGTGAAGATCTTTACGGGCTTCCTTGGGCTTACTGTATTGATTGGTGCTAAGAACAATATTGAATTAGTTTTAGTTTTATTTTTTTAATATTTTGGATATTTTATTTTACCACTTTTTGTTTTTTTTTTTCAACTTTTAAGTTATTTCTACTTTTTAATTTTGGGCCATGCGTTACTATGTGATTTAATCCAATTACTTTAGCATCTTTTTTCAAGATTTGATCTTGCCCTAGTTCCCAACCTTTGTCTCAGTTGTTGTATTTAAATATTCCGTCATTTATCTGGTGTTCTAACTTTTCTTTCATCGCAGGAATTTGATTTTCTTTATCAATTTAAATTATTTCAGAGTTGTTTGGGTTTTTAGTAACTCTTCACAGGTAGATGAAATTATTGCAAGCATTATATTATGCATATCTGAGATGGCTCAGTGTATTTCCATTGATGTTTATTCCTACCTTTTGTTTATTTTATTTTGTAAACAATTTTGGGGAAATACCTAGACAACACAAGTCAATCCACTGGATGTCTATCGTAAGTCCATTGATGGACATATCGGCTGTCTAAAGGACGTCCAGCATTTTACCGAAGGATATCCAATGGACATCTAATGGACATCCATTGGACTATACAAATGTCCCACTCCTGGACGTCCATTTGAACTCCATGAAAGGTCCATATATGGGCTCTTTTTGTATTGCTTTTGGACAATTTATGGACATCCGATGGACATCACCACCTACATTAATTAAGGAGGTCCTTTCGCCACCAATGTTAAATAAAAAAATATTAGATTATGACTAAAATAAATTTTTTTCTAATAGTAGATGTCCTTATTTATCTAATAGTGAACTTTTAACTATACCTTACCGTGCAAATTTTTGAGAATTTTTTTTTTAAAAATGTGTGTGTTTGTACAGTGTCTTATGAGAATTATAATTAATTTTACTATTATTTATTGATTAGATGGAGTAGAAAAAAAACTAAAAATAAGGTTTTTGAAATATTTAGGTTTTGTTTTTTACAATAAAATATATAGGTTACCGTGGAATTTATTGAGAAATTATTATTAAAAAATCACAAAAAATTTTCAACTAGGTTACTTGAAAATTTTTTGTGATTTTTTAATATTAATTTCTCAATAAGTTCCACGGTTTACTATATATATATTTTATTGTATAAAACAAAATCTAAATATTTCAAAAACCTTATTTTTAGTTTTTTTCTACTCCATCTAATCAATAAATAATAGTATAATTCGAGAATTTTTGTTGAGGACTTACTTTCTCGTGAGGCACTGTACAAATACTCACATTTTTAAAAAAAAAATTCTTAAAATAGTTAAAAGTTCAGTATTAGATAAATAAGGACTTCAACTATTAGAAAAAAATTAATTTTAGTCATAATCTAATAACTTTTTTTTAACATTTGAGGCGAGAGGTGTGGCGAAAGGACCTCCTTAATTAAAAAATATATTTTTATTGTCATAAATAATATCAAGCATGTATTGGTTTTATACGCACTTCTTTCTGTTGACCATTTTCTTAAGGTTATTTCGCTTACTTTTTAAGCAAAACCATTATCGCTCTTAGCAGCGGGCTAAAAAAAGACATTACATTTTATACGAATTTGAGTCTTAATCAATCTTTTAATAAATGTCTGATAGTTAAAAATGTAAAACTAATATGAAAATATGCATTAACTAATGTACTTCACACCTATACTTACATATGGCGAGCACAATGGCGTAATTTTTAAATAATTTGCTTTATAATTACTATTATTTGTGGACATTGGCATGTCTATAAATTACATCTCATGGATATAAAATAGATATCCACCATGGACTGGACATTCAGTGAATATTGGGATGTACAGTAGATATCCAAATTTGGTGTGCTGTCTGGGCATGTCATCATTTGTAACATATCAGAGACGTTTCACAGAGACGTTTGTGGAACAGCCTGCGGTGTTGCTCAAACGTCTTAGGTAAGTTTTTAATACTATTGCTGGAACGATCCTGAATTGACCTTAACGTTTTTCTTACTGAGCTTAGGTAAACATGCGACAGTGTTTCAGGAAGAAATACCAACAATACAGCACTGCGTAAAAGAGGTTTTAAGACAAAAGGTAAACGGAAAAACCATTGTCATATACTCAGACAGTCAAAGCGACGTTAAAATCACTCAGTTCTATGCAAGTACACTCAAAGCTTGTGTGGGACTGTTTGGAAGCCCTAACAGAGCTGGGTAGTCAAAACAGACTAACCCTAGCCTGGATGTCAGAGGACATAAGGGCAACGAATAGGCTGATTTAGTAGCCCAAGAAGAAGCATCAAAGGCTCTTATTGGCCCAGAACTCTTCTGTGATGTCACAAAGACCACTATCCGAACATACACAAAGCAGTGGATGTTCAAAAATTCACCAGGACAGAGACAGGCCAAAAAGTTCTTGAAAGGACCATCGCCTAAACTCACCAAGCACCTACTAAGCCTTAATATGAAAAATACTAGAGTGCTAGTAGATATATTAACAGGGCATTGTAGGCTTAGCAAACATATGTATAATATCAGTCTGACAGAAGAGACCTTGTGTCGATTCTGTCAGGAAGAGGAGAAAACTGCAGAGCACGTATTGTGCTACTGCGAAGGTAGAGCAAGACTGAGTTTCCTCACACTTGGAGAAGAGAAACCAAGGGCAACGTGCTATGCCGGAGAACTATTTCCTAGTCTGTGGAGTGTACTACAAAAGACCGAATTAGACAAAGTTCTCTAAACAACGATTAAAGGATATCCACAAAAGATCTGAAAAGGTTGAGGTGGGGAAGGCCACACGGCCCACAGTCCTAATTAAATCTAATCTACTCTACAATTCTCCTAATAAAATTTGGAATTTTATTCTATTCTAATTGTACTCTAATTGTTCCATTTTTAAACATAATATTGTTTATTATATTCTGATCTATTTTGCATCCTTATTTTCAACAAGAACTACAGTTCTATATAATACACCAACCATTTTTTAAATAAAACACCCTGCATTCCATCAACTCTTTCAAAATACACATTTTTAAGTTTTTGCTCTCGATTGAAGCTTAAAATTGATTAACGAATATCCCCAAAGATAATGTTGCAAAAACGATAGAAATCCATGAACTACCTCCAAAATCAAATTTGTCATGACTTTAAAAAATGCTGAGTAAAAAGTTTAACCATTATTTGTTAATAACACAGGACTGTTTGAAATGTTGAAGCAAAATTCATTGAGTTCAAAGTATGGTATACTCGATGTTGGAGAGATTCCTTCTGCTTTGGGATCTTCAAAACAAGGTTCTCCATAACCGATTTTAGGATTCAATATGGTAATGGAAAGCTATAGCATCTATCTTTGATAGGAGTTCAGGGATTTCTGTTCAAGAATTGTAATTATTGTATTTCTAGTCCAACCAGAAGTGCTCAAATATTGTACAGCCAGTCGATAAACTGAATCAATTCTATTGTTATTTAGACAATTTTTCTTTCACCTATAAAATTCATTCTTATCAAAGTTCTTTTCTCAACCAATACAGGTTTGGTATAAATCTAAGTGATACTGTTGAACAGTAGTTACAAACAAACACTACAAACATGTATTTTTCAGGTCAACTTTATATACTCCAAAAGTGGTAGACGAACCGAAAATAACGAAAATCCAAGATTGCGATGCCACTTCGAAGAAAGAAAACACAAACGAAGAAACTAATGAAGAAGAAAACTACAACGATGAAAGCCTAAAACTTGAAAACGAATTCAACGATACCGAACAGTCAGACGAGGAACCACCGAACTTGATACCTTGGAGGGCACATTTGAGGAAAACAAACAGCAAGTTGAATTTGTTAGAATAAGTTTAAGTTAGCCATTTGGAGTTAGTTTTTTAATTAATATTTGAAAGTGAATTTGATGATGCTAGAGTATTCGAGTATGCTTGTAATCATTCATCGGTTAGTTTTCAGTCTGATAGGTAATAATTGAGAAATGTGTTAATGTTTTCAAGAAAAAGTTTCGTATAAAAATATTTTTTATCTCGTATTTTTTATTTATTTTTAAATTAATTTCAATATTTAAATGGAATGTTTTTAATGGACCATCCAATGATATTGGATTGGGTATTGGCAAAAATGTAATAGAAATATGCTAATGGAAACTTCCTAACTTTATTTTGTGATGAAATTTTGATCGTTAAATTTAGTAAAAATAACAGGGTTATGATTTTCTAAAAATTAAATTTTGAATTCTCAAACACAATATCAATATATAAATAGTTGGTTAAAATCATTACTATTTTATTTAAAAATTTTCTTCCTTGTATATAAATATTATTATATAAATGAAGTACATAGATTTATTATAAAATTGCAGAACTATTAAATTCGCATTTTTATATACAGTTGTTATACATTTTAAAGTTTATTAATTATGCAAATACATAATATAAAATCACATAAAATTCTAAGGTATAAATAAGTTGTTATAGTATGTGAAAATTTGTATGGTATTAAATATTAGCTACACTCATTTTGTAAAAAGTAAATACAAAAAACACAAAAAACGTGAGATCTGCAATTTTTCTACACAACTGATTATCATAATAAAAATTGTATATAATAAGATATTCGGGATATGAGACAAATTGATATACTTTTTGATCTGTAGTTAGGTAAACTTATTTAATAAGTAAATTTATTTTATAAGAGTACTGGTTAGACTATAATTTAAAAAAATCAAATTAAACATTTAAAGAATAGTTACTAGGGAGGTTAAAGTACGACATGTATGTTTAAAACCATCAATTCTAGTTCTAATAATACCCATTAAAATATATTCTAAACATTTTATGGTTTCAATTTTACTCGTAATATTGTACAGAAGATTTGTATTTATTATTCAGATAAAACTTGAAAGGAATATTATCAATTTTGTTTCAACTTAATGACAAGACTAAGTGGCTCAAGGATTGTGGTCCGATTGAAATGGTACACATAAAATGAGGTATTTTATACGTATATTAAAAGATTTACAAATATTTTATGCAAAATTAATTTAATTCCACATATTTATTTGAATATTTATATTAAATGACTATCATAAATATTTTTGAACCAAAAATATAAAAAGGATAATACTCTCTTAATATATTTATTCTGTAAGATGTCAATAATTTATTAATTAGAAATGACAAATCTGTAACGCCAGAATGTTAAAAAAAAAATAAAATAATTCTGGATATTTTAAAATAAAATATTTTTTCTAATTTTGACATATATAAAGTTACATTTTTTATGATCGCAGCAAGTGTTAAAATGATCTGTTTTACACAACCAGTTGCATGATGTTGACCATTATGAAACTAGTTACGAAAAGTTCGTTATGTCACCAGTTGCGAAAAGAAAAATAAAAACCTTATTAATACAAATGTAAAACTCCAGAAACTTTGGTTGTCATAATCTTGATGTTGAATTTGATTTTTTAGTATTATACTAGCAAGTATTCTACGCGTTATTTATTTTATGTTGAGAAATATATTGTTTATAGTAGTTGATAGAGATGATATTTTAATCTATTATTTATAAGAAATCCCATTTCGACTAACGATTTTTCAAAATGTTGAGGAAGATGTGGAAAATTCATCTAAGTATTATAGATAACTAATTAATAATTAATCCACAATGAATGATATACTGAATTGCTAAAGATTGACAGGAGCAACACGAATCAATATGTTGTTTTAACATTTTAAATCAGATTTTTTAGATACAAATTTGGGTAGTGGGTAGTTTTTGAATAATTAAATATTCATTTAATTTCAACTCGTCTGCAAATAACCTTAAATTAAATTCGTATGAATTACATCGAGTTTTAAAAACAAAATTTAGTCAAAATTATCAACATTACCTGTTCTATCCCTATTGGTTCTTGATTATTCATCCAAAATATTGAATAAAATTGTTGATTCATTCTCAAAATCATCAAAAGCCAACTTAACTGGTCAATGATAAACATATGGATTGGTCATTTATCCGCATGTTTTATAAAGGGTTTGTCACTGTTTCCCAGTACCACTTTGGTCGAAGTACTCTTAAATATAACAAAATAGTAAAAGTTCAAGTAGGATATCTCACTCAGGCGTTAGAATTAATGTAAAATTGAAAAAGTTAATATTTTTTAATATTTTCTTTGGGATTTTCATGAAAAATCAAACCAAATCAAATAGCATAATGTCTACATCTCTACTTATTTGAATCAGTTTTTAATAATAGTAAACCAAAATCAATACAAAAATCGTGCATATTTAGGCACATGTGTACAGAAAATACAGAAATATTTTTATAATGATAATTAAAATATCATCTTTAATTTATATATTTTATTTCGTTTTATAGATACTAGTGTTAAATTATATTTAATGATTATTTCTTAAATCGTTCAGTCATTATATTGTGATTTTTGTATTTTTATATTATCTTTCCGATAACTATACCTATATTATCATTTTGACTCTTTCTTCTGTTATCTTCTGTTCTTGCCAATAGCAAAACGTTTTATGTATTTAAAAATCTGCTTTTAAGGGTTGGGACTTGTACAAAAATATTATTTTTTTATGTATAATTGTATTCTATTGTAAAATTATTTTTATGGATAAAGAATAAAACGTGGAAAATTGATTTTTTGTTTATTTTTATTCTTAGTTTTATATTTTTAGCCACTGTTATTCCTTTTACAATAATAAAGATTTTATTTCAAATGAATAATAAGGTGTGATATATAACTAACAAGTCGAATAGAAGATACAGATACTTTAGAATTAACACAGTTTTACCAAAAGATCAACACAGTTCAACCAGAAGAGTAAGTATATATTAGGCATATTTGCCTTAACTAAACCCTTATAATAATAACTCCAAAGTAATACCTAGGGAATCTAACATGATGTTAGAAGTTAGGAAGACGCTATAAGAACATTCAAAACAGTATCAATAGGGGTGGCTAATTTAGATTCAATTTGGCCGATTGCCAGAACCGGACTATTGGGGATGCAATCCAAATCTATATTTTTCTTTTTTTTAGGAAATATAAGGTATATTTAATTATTGTTATAAAACGGATGATTAAGGTTATAATAACTGTTTTTTTTACACCCACATAGATATTAGCTTATCTACGCAAAGATTTCAAAACGAAAAAGTATGCTATTGCCTTCAACTAAACAAATATATTTCATATCCATTTTAGGTAGTGAGAACACGGCAAAAAAATTAAATCCATTAATCACCGTTCATATTTTGAGCAACCGACTGCTATTGGCTTTAAAATTTTAAATACCTAAGTGACAATTCTGTCAAACTAATTATCAGTATAGTTTTTAGTTATTGAGATTAAACATACATTAAAATGGGTTATTTTTCTTAGCTAGCACATAACGTTGCCAAGCTTTTCGGCGATGTTGTTTTGAATAATAACATTACTATACAACGTAAATGCAACGTTCATGAGAAGTTGTTGAGGGAAATCAAAACCTTGCGAAACATCTATTTGTTACTTACGTATTTAACCTACCTGTTATGATAACACAACGTAATAAAGTAATTTGCTAAAAAAGTATCCACGAGAAGTATAGGGTGTCTCAGAAACATTTTCGTTTATTAATCCGTTCGCTGGCACAATAGGCACATTCCCGAGAAAGAAATCAGTTGGCAAACGGTGATCGACAGTGTTAAGTTTTAGTTGCAATGGAGCAATTTACGGACCTCTCTTAAACTAGCAGGACCAACTGGGCAGAATCGATTAAAATCTATTACATTATTTAGTACCTATTTTGTACTAATTTGTACCACCAATAAAAATTTTGTACCATGTGCCGTTTTCAAAAAAAACGTGGTGCTGCTAGGTTAATATTAAGCGTGCAGGATCACATTAAAAAAATAAAATAAAACATAAAACAAAGGTAGAATTAAAACGAACTGAATTTTTACCAATTTGTACCACCAATCAATTTTTTGTACTATGTACAGTTTATAAAAAAAACACATGGTGCTTCTAGTTTAATATTAAGCTAGCAGGACCACATAAAAAAATAAAATAAAAAAGGAATTATAAAGAACTAAATTTGTACCAATTTTTACCACCAATAAATTTTTCGTACTATGTACCGTTTACAAAAAAACACAAGGTGCTTCTAGTTCAATAGTAGGCTAGCAGGACCACATTGAAAAATACAAAGGTACAATTAAAAAAGACTGATTTTGTACCAATATGTACAATTAAAAAAAATTTAATTTATTTAATCAAACTGCCTGAAACAACTTTCAAATTTCAAATCTGTTGTAATTAAAAATAAAGAGATTTTTTCCAGAAAAAGAATCTATTGCAATTTTTGCATAAAACACAACATAATTTGTACCGTTAAAATATAAATTATCAGAATATGCACCCCTGCCGTTCCTTAGAAACTATCCTAAATTCATATTCCTTTTAAACAGCAAAATCAATCGTTACTTCTGCAATAAAAGTACGTTAAAATGTAAATTGTTAGATTCTGTACCCTTGGGGTTCCTATAAAAACTAACCTAAATTCATGTTAGGCTCAAGAGTAAAGTACCCTTTTGCAAGAGCAGAATCAGCAGTTACTCCTGCAATGAAAGTAACATAATTTGTACCACTAAAATATGAAATTTCATATTTTTTACCCCTGCCGTTCCTATAAAAGTTAACCTAAATTCATATTAGGCTCACGAGTAACCCTCAATGTTCTATGAATATACTAAGAACGTTCTGTTTATGTTCTTTTTAGTATGTCCTTTTTGGTATGTTCTTAGAACATACCTAGTATATACTTTGAAAGTATATT